TTAAATTGATTTAAATTGATTTAAATTGATTTAAATTGATTTAAATTGATTTAAATTGATTTAAATTGATTTAAATTAAGTTATATAATAAGTATAGTTTTTTTTCTGGAGTAAGATTGAGATTTGAAAGATGGACAGCAAATTCAGAATAGATTTTCTTAAAAGTGTAACATAATGAGGGCTGATGAATTCCGTTGTTTTTATCCAGGATAAAAATCTCATTAGTAATTATAAAAAATAAAAATAGAATTGGTGTCTTTTGCTTAACGTAAACAAAGGAGTTCGTTTCACCTAATCACGATCTAGATACGGTTAGTACCCAAGTATTTCACGCGACTCTCTTGCACAAAATTTTCGCACAACATTTACAAAGTTAACAACATTTACACACCCCAAGCCCCAAAGCAAGTCCGTGGCAAGTTAATCTTTACATTTTAAAGGTGCTATAATATTATCGTTATGAAAAAAAATACCAATTAACTCTTTTTCATAACACGGATCAATTCTAAAGATGGTTGGATAAAAAATTTATTGATGTGATTACGTATTGCGTACATACCTTGGTACTATAACCTGAAACATTACAAATAATTAAAGTTCACTGATCATATCAAAAGAAAGTAGATTGAAAGTCTGAGGTACCAGAGTATCAGAGTATCGGAGTATCAGATAAACACCTATTTTTATCTTCCTTAATTTATCTTCCTTTCTTTCTTGATCTCTCAAAGTCTAATTTTTTCGAATTTTTTCAAATCCTTTGATGTCATATTAGAACATGAAAATAATTACATTTCTTTATTATTATTTTACATATAGACGAAAAATAAACAATTAATAAAATTTCCTTTTAAAGTTTTCAATGTCATAACCTTATCTTGTTTATTACGTATGCAGTCGGTCTTCCTTTAGAACTAATAACGATAACAAGATCATATAATTCGCATAATTCGCATAATTCATAATCGTAATACATTGTAAATCTTTCAATTCTCTAAATATTTCGAATGATATTTCATAGATAGTGATCTCACTGATCTATCATGTATTTCATGTATTTGATCTAATATTGATATTGATATTAATATTAATATTAATATTAATATTATTAATATTATATTTTGATATACGTATATATTTATATATTTATATGCTGATATTACGAATACTATAACTGATAAAGAATACTATGAAACGAATAAAGAATTAACAATGATAAGAACTTAAAAATGGTTGGTATAATTTTCTAGAGACTAAAACAGTTGCTACCAAATTGTTACAATTTTACAATTTCTTTAAACGCGTTCAGAAAATATGAAACATAAGTTTTAAATGTTAACAGTCCTTGAATTCATTCATCTAGTCTAGAATTCGTCTAGAATTCGTCTTAAAACCTTATGTTATCTGTTATCGTTACTCTATTCTATTTTCTATTTTATTCTATTCTATTTTATTCCACTTTATTTTACTTTATTCTAGCTATTAGAGTTAGTAGTTTCTGAGTAATAAATACACAGAATCAAAATTGTCAATTGTTTAAACTCCGGTAATGTTGAAATGAAACAATATATCTTACTATCAGAGTGACAGGTGATCTGACGCCTCACTAAACTGTTATTGTTTTTTACCCCAAGCCTCAATATTTAACTTCCGCAATTGTTTTTTTTTATGTAACGCAAATTTAATTGACCTTCAATTTATACGTATTTCACTTTATAACTATTGTGATGTGTTAGGGCTGCACGGACGATGTTCTTTGGTTCTCGGATTTTAGTTTAACTTATATGTGTGAATATATATATACACTACAAATGGTAGTGCATAAATTGCAAGATAAACAGATCCCTTTTTTTTTTTTACCCCTTTTCTCTGCCGAACTTTATTTTTTTATATTCTTTTTTTTTTTTTTTTTTTTTAAATTACTTCAGTTCTTTACCATATGATACTTATTATTAAAATAGATTATAAAAAGTATCAAGGGAAACGACTGAATTTTCATTTCAAAAAGAATTCATAGAGACCATTTTGCTTCCTAGCCAGTGGAACAATTTTGGATATAGACTTTAAAAAAAAACATTTCATTATTATAATCGGGAGCTGGTCGCCCACTTAGAACCTTTAAAATTTCTATCTTTCTATTTTTTTTTCTTATTTTCTCTATTTCTCTTAAAAGTATATTACTAACTTTTTTTTCATTTAGTCAAATTCACTTTTATAATTCATATATTATAAAAAAAAAAAAACACTTGAAAAACACTTAAATAATAATAACTCGAATGTTATCGATTATATCTCATTTATTAATAATATGACTGATTATACTCTCTCGTCGCCAACAACTCCTCGTGTTGTACGTTCAACAACACGAAATTATCGTGACTACACCTCGTTTGACGAGGCTGAAGAAAGTGACTACGATAAAAGACATAATAATAATAATAATGGTTCCATTATAAATGGTCCTGTTAATACTAGGAACACTAGCAATACTAGCAATACTAGCAACACTAGAAATACTAGGTGGAGGGCTAATAGCATAACTTCCACTTATACTCCTTCTTTCTCACAAGGAAGAAGATTTGATATAAAAGAACCTGATACCAATAATAATAATTCTCGAAGAAGGCGTGGAAGAAACTGGGAAACTGACGACGAACTATTCAAACCAAGTCACGTATGTTTTTAATTCTTTTAATTTATTATCGTCTATGCTATTATCTCGTGTTATCCCTGCTATTCTCTTGATTCTTTCTATTCTTGTTATCCGTGTTATTTTCTTCATTCTTTCGATTCTTGTTATCCGTGTTATTTTCTTCATTCTTTTCGATTCTTATTATCCATGTTATTCTATTCATTCTTTCTATTCTTGTTATCTATGTTATTCTCTTCATTCTTTCTATTCTTGTTATCTATCTTCATGCTTCTTATTCTTTTTTATTCTTTTTAATTCTTTTAGTTCTTTTAATTCTTTTAATTCTTTTTATTCTTTTTTATTCTTTTTATTCTCTTTCTTTTTCCATGACATTGCAATTATAAAGTCGAATGCTCATTTTAACCAATTCTACCCCTTCTCTTTTTTTTTCATTAGCGTAATTCTCTACCTATCCAACCAACTTCTCCAATATCCCCTCTATATTCTCCTCATAATGCTGTAGATGAATCAACCACCACTCGATCCTTACTTAATCTTCTCAACAGTGAACGTACAAAAAGGAGAGAATTACAAAAAGAATATGATACAACTGCTGAAGCTTTACGTGACCTTCAACAAAAACATGATGATGATATTGCTGATATGGAAAGTGATATCCAAGTCTTGAGAGATGCTCTATTAAAAGAATCAAAAGCTAATACTCAATTAAGTAAACTTCTCAGAGAAACTCGTGGAAAATTTTTAGAAGATATGAAAACTTGGGAAAAATCTTGGAATTTAAAAGTTTCGGAAATGGAAGCTCAAGGAAAAGAATTACAAAAAGCTTTTGATGATGCTTGGTGTCACCTTGAAAAAGAAGAAAGAGAAGTCATTAGATTAAGAGAAGAAAATAATGCTTTACGTAAACAATTAAATAGTAGATCTATTGATCCTCCTATTATTAATAGATTAAATCTTGAAGATGTTCGAAAAGTCGGTTATTTAGAAGATAGAGATGATATTTCTGTCTGTACTGATTCTAAACTTCTTACTGAATCTAATGAAATTTCTGATACTGAATCTGTCGCAAATTATTCAAAAGTCTCGGAATTAACGGATCGTATTTCAGATTTGGAAAATGAATTGGTTAAATTAAAAGAATCTAATCAAAGTTATGAACTTTTATTAAAAGAAAAAGATGTTGAAAAACAATCGGCCCTTAAACAACTTGAGGAAAAATATGAAAAAAAGATTAAATTACTTCGTGCTAGCAATACTTTAAATCAAAATACTATCGAAAAATTAAGTCAAGAATTAAGAAAGGCTAAATTTAATGAACGTGAACGTGATCCTATTTCGAAAATTCAACAAAAACAATTATATCCTTTCCGTCCTCATACTCCTGTTAAACAATCCTCTTCCGATCATGATGATTTACGTACACAACAATGTAAACGTAAAATTTTAACAGAAATTTCGAATAAAGATCGTAAAAATAGTTTGACTAGTACAAATAGTGGTAGTTTTGCAAGCACTAGTAATAGAAGTGGTGGTATTGACGAAAAAGATGATATTCAAAACATTAACAATGATGATGTAGAAGGTGAACTTGAATCTGAAGAGGATGATGATCGTTCTTCATCTTTATGTACCAGCAGTGAAGTTTGTGCTCAAAGTCGTCTTGGTAGCGAAGAAGCAACCAGCATAACCGATCCGCATACTGAATGTCATGATCAATCTGATTCTTCTTCATTATTAAGACAACAACAACAACAACAACATAATCGTGATAAAAATAATGAATCGGCTGAGGATGATATGTTGGATATGTTCCTTTCGGAAATTGAAGATTATCGTTTACCACTTAGAGGTCATTATTCGGCCGCTGAATTCACTGATGAAGAAGATTTTACCTTAGATAGGTTTGATGATGTCTCTGTAAGTCGAAGGCATAGTATTACAAGTAAATCAGGAATGGGAACTGAAGGCAGTGTAATTTCAAAACTCAGTCAATTCTCAAATATTAGTAAAGGACAAATCAGTGATGATGATGGTATACTATAGATTCTGTGAATCTGCGAGCCGACGAATTTGTGAATTTATGAATTTGTGAATTTGTGAAGTTGTGACTTATTTCTGAACATTATCTAAATTGTAATTCTTCTGCCGTTTTCAATTTTTTTTAAAAGTTGATTATTTATGTTGTATATATAGTATGGTGCATTGTTTCACTTTCGTGAATAATTTTCACGATTCATTCACTTAGAAAATCTCTCCTTTTTTTTTTTTTTTTTTTGTAAATAGTATTGTATACTTTTTTTTATCATATCAAAAAAAAAATGACACATTGTTGATACAATGATAACACGTTTTAGATGAAAAAAATTTTTAAGCATAGCATTTAAACATTTTTATTTAGTTCGTGCACGCATTCACATACAAAAAAAAAAAAAAACAATTATCTATGCACCACTTACTACTACTATTACTACTACTACTACTGATACTACTTTCTTTTCTCTATTGTCTTTTTTTTTTTCTTTCCTGTAAAATATGCAATTTGTATTCTGATCTTTGCTTGTTGATAGTTGTTGTTTAGGGCAATTCCAAGATTAAAAAAAAAAAAAAGTTTTTTAACAATTGTATTTAATTATAAAAATTCTTTCCGTTACCAGTCTACAAGTTATTTTTATAAAGTGACATGGCTATGTTATTTTTAAAACAATTACGCATTATTAGGTAATGAAATTAACATAAGTGCCTTGGACCGTGCTGTCTTTTGGATTTTGACATACAGCATTGTACGCAGTTTGTACATCGCAGGCTGTACATCACAGGTTGTCTATCGCAGGTCAAACCAGTTAAATTAATGCGCGTGGATCAGCATTTATCAGCATTGATTATACACATTTGATTATTGGTGTTCAATCTTATGAAAAATTTATGCTTTTAGTAAATGATTACCAAAGACATCTTTTATCAACTTAAATTTAATTAAAATTCATTAAAAATTTTTATCTATTATCGTCTAGGACATTATTTTGAATTAAAAAAAAAAAACTTTTTTTTCACAATGCTCATTGTGATCAACTATATTTAATACAGTAATAAGGAGTATGGATGTGATCGTTTAAGCTCTAGATCATACGTAGTTAAAATTTAAGCATATATATATACTTTATGTCTATCGATATGTATAGGTATACGTAGGTATAGTGTATATACTGTACGTACGTACGTACGTATACTGATATGTATGTATTTATATTTATATATATATATTTATTTATGCGTGCATTTTATATGATTTAATTAATGATTTAACAAGTTTTTACTATTGAACTATATAATTATGATTACTCAGCAGCAGCAATTCGAAAAAAAAATTTTTGAATTTTTGATATATTACTTAATAATAATATTTGATAATCTAAAGTTATCTTGTTTTGTTTTTAAACAATTATTTAATGTTATTAAAAAAGTAGCTGTACGTATCGGTACTTACAGTAATTATTAATTTTTTTTTATCATCGATTTTGGTAAAATTTGGTATTATAATAAATATCGGTATAAAATAAACAATCTATATCGATATCTCGATATATCGATATATCGATACGTATACGTATCATAAAAAAAAAATTTTTTTTTACGCACATTATATACCTATCATACCGTAATAATGATAATTCAGTAATTGCTACAAATATTTAAGGGTAGAGTGTATGTCGATCATTTATCATATGATCTCAGTGGTACAACGGGATTTTATGCATAAATTAAAATA